ATCCCTGTTTTCCCTCCTTTTGTGGCAGGGACAGGTTCCCGGCAGCACTTCCAGTCATCCCCGTGCCTGGCAGGGGTTGGATCCCTGTTTGTCCCATGCAGTGGTTGGATCCCTGTTTTCCCTCCTTCCCTGGCAGGGATTGGATCCCCGTTTGTCCCATGCAGTGGTTGTATCCCTACTTTCCCACCTTTCCTGGCAGGGACAGGTTCCCTGCAGCACTTCCAGTCCTCCCCACTCCTGGCAGTGGTTGTATCCCTGTTTTCCCTCCTTCCCCAGCAGGGACAGGTTCCTTGTAGCACTTCCAGTCCTCCCCACTCCCGGCAGTGGTTGTATCCCCGTTTGTCCCATGCAGTGCTTGTATCCCTGTTTTCCCTCCTTCCCCAGCAGGGACAGGTTCCCTGCAGCACTTCCAGTCTCCCCCCTCCCGGCAGTGGCTGTATCCCTGTTTTCCCTGCTCCCTCCTGCAGATGGCTGCCTACTTCACCCACTCCAACCTGCAGCCCGTGCACATGATCCTGGTGCTCCGAACCGCCCTCAACCTCTTCTTCAAGCTCAAGAACTTCAAGACCGCGGCGACTTTCGCCCGGAGGCTGCTGGAGCTGGGCCCCAAGCCCGAGGTGGCCCAGCAGGTACGTCCGGGAGGTGCTCGGGTGGAAGCCCCTGGTGGGACAGACCCCGTTTTGGGGTCTCCTCGTGCCTCCCCCCCGCTCACCGCGGTCGCTGTTTTCGCAGACGCGCAAGATCCTGTCGGCGTGTGAGAAGAACCCCACGGACACCCACCAGCTCAACTATGACATGCACAACCCCTTCGACATCTGTGCCGCCTCCTACAGACCCATCTACCGCGGCAAACCCGTGGAGAAGTGTCCTCTCAGCGGGGCCTGCTACTGCCCCGAGTTCCACGGGCAGATCTGCCGCGTCACCACGGTGAGGGCGTCCCCATTTCCCTTGGGAATTCCCTTCCACGGCTCCTCCCGTGTCCTCCTGAGCTGACTGGGTGGTGTTGGGTCGTGTCAGAGGTCTTGGCGTGTGAGGGAGGAGAGTTTGGGGGGTTGTGAGGACCGTGAGGTTGAAACGGTGCCTGAATTTGGGGGTGAGCTCGTGGGGATGGGCTGTGTGTGTTCAGAGGGGATTTGGGGTCTGGAGCATCTCCCTGATGAGGAGGGACTGTGGGAGCTGGGCCTGCTTAGTCTGGAGAAGAGAAGACTGAGGGGGGATCTCATCCATCCATACAAATACCTCAGATATCCCCAGAAACCCCTCCCCTGAGAGGGGATCTCATCCATCCATTCAAACGTCTCCAAGGGGTGTCTGATGGTCCCAGACTCTTCCCAGTGGTGCCCAGGACGAGGAGTGATGGCCTTAAACTAAACCTGAGGGTGGGAGAGCCCTGGAGCAGCTGCCCAGGGAGGGTGTGGAGCCTCCTCTCTGGAGACATCCCAACCCCACCTGGACGTGTCCCTGTGTCACCTGCTCTGGGTGACCCTGCCCTGCTCTGGGTGATCTCCAGAGGTCCCTTCCAACCCCAGCTGGGATTCTGTTCTCCAGAGCAGCTGGGGAGGCTCCAAGGGCTGCACTCAGGGTTGGGATTTGGAGCTGCTTTTGACCGTGAATCATCTCCTTTTGTCCCTCAGGTGACGGAGATCGGCAAGGACGTCATCGGGCTGCGCATCAGCCCTCTGCAGTTCCGTTAGGAATTCCTGCCTGGGAGGGCAAATTCCACTCCCCCATCCCCACCTGTAGCCTCACCTCTCCCCCATAGCCTTGCCTGTGCTGTCCCACTTGATCTCCCCCCCCAGGAATGCTGTAGTGAGACTCTGCTTCCAGGTAGTCGCAGCTTTTCCTTGTTTCCAGACCGGCTGGTGTGAAGTTTTTCTGGACCGTTGTCCTGTGGCAAATCTTTTCCAGAGGGGAAAGGGCGGCTCTGCCGAGCCCTGATTACCACAGAGCACGTTGGAAACTGCTCCAGAGGCAGCAGCTGCCTCTGACACCCTTTAGGTCCTGAAAGAATTGCTTGGAAGAGCCAGGAAAGGCTCTGGGAATGTGGTGCTGTCGGGAACTGGGACAGTGCAAAGCCCATCCCAACTCCAGGGCAGTTCTCCCCCCTTGGAAATGGCATTGGCTCAACATTTGTGGTCGTGGTGACTCTTTGTTTTGTTGTCCTGGTAACATTTCTCAAACTAATCAGCTTCACTCATGAATAAAGTAATTAAACCACCTTGATCTTCCAGTTCTGTAGCTCAGTTGGTTTAACTGAGACGCAGGAGGTGACACTGAATTTCCTCTTCCCACCTTCCCCCCACCCTTGGAGTGCTTGGAGGGTTGAGAAGTTTCCAGAAGGTGGGGCTGGAGCAACAGGAGAAGGGTCTGGAGAACTCCTGAGGGGGCTCATCCCGGAGAAAAGGAGGCTCAGGGGGGACCTTCTGGCTCTGGAATTCCCTGACAGGAGGGGGGAGCTGGGGGGGATCAGGCTCTGCTCCCAGGGAACAAGGGACAGGAGGAGGGGAAACGGCCTCAAGCTGTGCCAGGGGAGGGTCAGGTTGGCCATGAGGAGGAATTTCCCCATGGAAAGGGGGGTCAGGCCTTGGCAGGGGCTGCCCAGGGAGGTGGGGGAGTCCCCAGCCCTGGAGGTGCCCAGGGAAGGACTGGCTGTGGCACTGAGTGCTCTGGGCTGGGGCCAAGGTGGGGATGGGGCACAGGGGGGACTTGCTGACCTTGGAGGTCTTTTCCAACCTCAGGGATTCTGGGATCCTGCTCTCTCTGGGGCTGCTTCCCTGGTGCTGAAACAAAACCTTACACTCGGATATTAAACCTTTTATTTTATCCATAAAAACAAAGGAAAGAAGGAAGGAGGGAAAGGGGATGTCTCCATCTTTTGGTGCTTCCAGTTGTGCCTGGGAATGTTCACAGTGGAGGGGGAGATGAAGCCCCCCCAGGGCCCCCCTACGGGCCGGGGGCCTTCACCACCAGGCTGTTGTGGCAGGCCACGGCGATGCCCCCGATGAGGTTCAGGAACTCCTGGAAGTCCAGCTGCCCGTCGCTGTTCAGGTCCAGCTTCTTCATCATCCTGTCCACGACCCCTGGATCCTTCTGGTTCTGCGAGAGAGCTGGGAATGGAGCCCCCTGCCACGGGGCTGGACCCCCCCACACTGCAGCCGGTGAGCTCGTGGGATCCCGGGATGGGTCGGGTCGGGAGGGACCTCAAAGCTCAGCAGGTTCCCCCACGGCAGGGACACCTCCCCCCAGAGCAGGTCCCTCCAAACCCCATCCCACCTTGGGAGATTCCAGGGGGTCGGGGACACCCCCAGCTCCTCGGGGCGAGCTGGATCCGCTCCCCCCCGAGCGGGGCTGCTCACCTTTGTGAAGGCGGCCAGCTCGGTGTTCATGAAGGCCAGGAATTCCCGCTTGGACAGGGTGCAGTTGTCCCCCTCCCGGCCGGCGTAGCGCTGGAACACGGCCAGCAGGGACTCGATGCAGCGCTCCGTCTCCGTGGGCTGCGGGAACCAGGGCAGGGTTGGGAGCCCCGGGTGTCACCCCGGATCCATCCCGGGAACCAGGGCAGGGTTGGGAGCCCCGGGTGTCACCCTGGGTCCATCCCGGCAACCAGGGCATATTTGGGAGCCCCGGGTGTCACCCTGGGTCCATCCCGGCAACCAGGGCATATTTGGGAGCCCCGGGTGTCACCCCGGATCCATCCCAGGTGTCATCCCAGATCCACCCTGGGAACCAGGGCAGGGTTGGGGGCCCCGGGTGTCACCCTGGATCCATCCCGGGAACCAGGGAAGGGTTGGGGGCCCCGGGTGTCACCCTGGATCCATCCCGGGTGTCATCCCGGATCCATCCCGGGAATGAGGACAGGGTTGGGAGCCCCGGGTGTCACCCTGGATCCATCCCGGGAACCAGGGCAGGGTTGGGAGCCCCGGGTGTCACCCTGGCAGGGTTGGGAGCCCCGGGTGTCACCCTGGCAGGGTTGGGAGCCCCGGGTGTCACCCTGGATCTATCCCTGGAACCAGGGCAGGGTTGGGAGCCCCGGGTGTCACCCTGGCATATTTGGGAGCCCCGGGTGTCACCCTGGCAGGGTTGGGAGCCCCGAGTGTCACCCCGGATCCATCCCAGGAGCAGGGCAGGGCTGGGGGGGCCTCCTCTGCCCAACCCGTCCGGCCGCATTTTTCCCTGGAATTCGCTTCTCCGCCGCCCTGGCACGGGAAGGACCCGGAGAACCGGGGAGGGGCGGGTGGAAAATCCCCCGGGGGGGTGTCGGCTCCCATCGGAGGAGTGGCTTTGGACGGGGAAGAGCTGGTGGCGCAACCAGGCTTGGCCGAGGCTGCTTTTCTGGAGAGATAAACCCGTTCCACCCCCTCTCGCCTCCCCCGGCCCCGCCTGGGCCCCGGAGAAACTGAGTCAGGAGGGAAAAATTCCGGTGGCCTCCTGGATCTCCTCCCTCTGGGCAGGGATGGAGCAGGGCTGGAGCAGGGCTGGAGCAGGGCTGGAGCAGGGCTGGCCGGGGGCTCCTCCCGCGGGGATGAACAGGGCAAGGCGAGGAGATGGAGAGGAGAGGAGGGAATGTGGGGCTTTTCCCACTTCCAGAGCCTCCAGTTTCTAGGGAAGGGCAGTGCAGGGAGAGCCGGGGGGAATCCCACCCTTCTCATGCCAACCTCGCCTCCCGGGGCTTCCCTGCCACATCCTGCCCTTCCTGAGGCTCAATTCAGCCTTTTTTCGGTTAATTTGAGAGGTGCAACTTCCTTCCACCCTCAGCTCTTGGTTCCTCTTCCCCCTTCCCAGCGCTGTGGGTGTGGGGGGGCAGAGCCCCGAGCCTGGTTATGGGCATGGAAAGAGTGGGAAAAGGGAGGGGAACAACACAAATGCCACTCCTTAGACCACCCCAGCCTGCAGGGACCCTCTGCCCTCTGTCTCTGCCCACTCTTCCCACGCCCAGGCTCCCTCTCCTGCAGGACTTGGAGCCCCAGCTCAGCCTTGGCCCCACCTGCTCTCTCCAGAGCCAAACCCGCCTGGCCTCAGCTCGGGGGCTTTTTGCAGGAAAAGCTCCTCTGCCGTGCCCTGTGGAACCCCCTCCCCATCCCCACGCCCGCAGGGACCCCCTGCCCTCCTCTCTGCCCCCTTCCCACGCCCAGGCCCCTTCCCGGCAGAGCCCAGCTCAGCCTTGGCACCGTCCGCTCCCTCCGGAGCCAAACACGTCTCGCTCTCGCTCTGGCAGGAAAAGCTGCTCCGCTGCCCCGTCCCCCGCCCAGGGGGGGAACCCCCTCTCCGTGCCCATCCCGGGGGTCCCGGCTCGCTCACCATGGCTGGGCTGGGAGGAGGCTCCTCTCTGGGCACGGCCGGGTGGGATGTGACGGGTCCGGAGCGGGATCGGGGCCCTCGGGAGTCTCCGGGCGCGGCCCCCGCCCTGCCCAGCCCAGCCCAGCCCGGCTCGGTTGGGCAATCCCGGCCCTAACGGCAGATCCGGACCTGCCCACGCTCCCGCCTTCGCCTCAGGAATGTGCCGGGCCCCTCCTTGGGCTCTCCCGAGTTTTGCTCCTCGCAGTTATTCACGCTCAGGTTTTCTCCTCCTCGTCCATTTTCGCCCCCCCCCCGGTCCTTGGGAACGTCCCTGTCAATCCCTTCCTTCAGTCCTCGGGGCTCAGCTCCCCCTGGGAATCACTGGGAAAAAATATGTTCCCCCCCAAAGCTTCGAGGAGAGCCTGGAGCAGAGAGGTAACACAGGAGCCAGGATGTGTCCTGGGATCTGGGACAGCTCTTTGGGAATTCCTGTGGGAGGCTGGGACAGCCCAGAGCAGCACAAAGGGAAGCAGCGAGGAACCATGTCCGAGATATTTTCCTTTCTAGCCCTGATTTTCTGCCCCCAACTCATTTTTTTTCCCCCATATACAGGGAAAAAAAGCACCTCCTCCCACAACCCAGCCCCTCCCGGACTGAATTTTCCAAACCCGGGAGCCGAGGGGAGGAAAACTCCCGCGTTTTACAAACTCCCCTTTACAGAACCCGAGCAGGAAAGCGGCGTTTCCTCCTTTGCGGGAGCAGATCCCGGAGGGAGCCGTGGCCAGGGGAGGATCTGGGGCCGTTCCTGGCAGCTGCTGGGGGGGTTTGCAGGCCAGGCCTTGGCCCCGGTCGCAGACACACCATCTGTGCTGCCATATGTTTGTCACCCGGACGTGTGACCGGCGCGTGCGCCGAGGGGACGTCGCCGGGAGCGGCTCCGTGTGCTCCGGGCTGGGATGGACCCTCGGGAATCCCTCTGGCACCGGCTTGGAGGAGGATGTGGGCCCATAGCGGGGGTTTGGTGGGATTTCCAGCGGCCTCCGCCTGCGGGAAGCAACCGGGATCACAAGGAATGTGTGATGTGAACCGGGAATGTGTGATGTGAACCGGGAATGTGATGATCCCACCCGGGAACGTGTGATGATCCCACCCGGGAACATGTGGTCCCTCCCAGCCCTCCCAGATCCTCGAAAAGCGGTGGAAGGATGAAGGCTGGCACCTCTCAGTGCAGTCAGCAGCTGTTTATTCTGATTTTTCATGCAATACATCAACGTGAAGAAGAAGAAGAAGAACCCCCCACCCACCACCCACCACCCACCCTGAGGTGACCTCGACATCACTCGGCTGCTCCAAACCCCCCCCGAGGCTGGAACTGGGATTCTGCTCGGCTGGATTTTGTGTAATAGTCCACAAAAGTAGGATTTTTCCCAGCTTTGAGGACTTCCAGGCCCCAGAATGAAGATGGTTGAGCTACTGGGATTTTTTTGGCATTACAGAGCAGAAGCTGGTGAGAACCAGCCATGGGGAGGCGTGAGCAGAGGGAGGTGCAGAGTGGTCCCACCACAGGGTGGAAGAGAGGACAGAGACACCAAGGACAGAGAGACCCAAGGACAGAGAGACCCAAGGACTCCAATTAGAGCAGAAAAAGTGACTAAATACTGTATTTTGGTGGAGAAGCATCACGCAGGGAAGCAGATCCGGAGGTAACTCGAGGATTTGTTACATGGAAAACCCCCCAAACCCACTTGACACCCTCTCGAGGCACCTCATGAACCCTTTTGAGCCGATCACATCCTGATCCTCAAAAAGACCCGGGGAAGCCCCACCAGCTGCCCCCCCTAAGATGCTTTGGCTTCGTCCCCCGCGGGACCGCTCGGTTCCTCCCGGGAGCTCAGCAGCCCGGGGGTCCCCTGGCTCTGCTTGGTGCCAGGACACGGCTCCT